AAACTTGCACTCCCTCCCTCCTTACGTTTTGTTCGTTTTTCTGCCCTCGCTGCTGGGGAGGAAAGAAGGAGGGGGGAAGGCGCCACGTCCGTCACGTGTGTGCGCTTGCGATTTCATTGCCCTTCATGAAATAGAAATAAACAACCAAACAAATAAACAAATGGGGGCCGCGGCGGTCACGGAAGCGCAAGGAGCCCCCCACCAGACACGCGCACGCACGTCACAGCCGCGGCTTCGCGCGTTTGGCCGCCAGGAAGACAATCTGCCGCGTCACTTCGTACGACTTGAGCAGCGACGGCACCGGCAGAAACTCGAACTTCGAGTGGAAGTTGTGTGCGCCGGTGAAGTAATTTGGCGTTACGATGCCCTTCGCGGAGAGCACCGCCCCGTCGGTTCCCCCGCGCATCGCGGTCACCTTGGCCTCCACGCCCGCAGCCCGCATCGCCTCAAAGATGATGTCCACCGCCGTGCGGTCGCCGCCGAGGGAGTCGGCGATGTTGCGGTACTGGTCTGCCACCCGCACCTGCACGCGTCCGGTGGGGTGCAGCTGCTGGATCTCCCTGGCCACCGTGTGCAGCTTCTGCTTGCGCTCCTCAAACTTCGCCAGGTCAAACTCGCGCACCATCACTTGTAGCACGGCCTCGCTTTGGTTCGCGGTCATCTCCGCAAACCAGTGGTAGCCGTCCTTTCCCGCCGTGCACTCCGGCGTCTCGTTGCGGTCGAAGCGTGAAATGTAATCCACGGCCATCAGCAACGGGTTCACCAGCACCCCTTTCGCCGACATGGGGTGCGCCGTGACGCCGGTGAAGGTGATTGTGGCGCCGGCGGCGTTGAAGTTCTCGTACACCACCTCGCCCAGCTCACAGCAGTCGATGGTGTAGGCAAAGTCCACGTTGAAGCGGGAGGCCAGGTCGAGGTGCTTGGCGCCCACGAGGCCGACCTCCTCGTCCGGGACGCAGCAGACAATGATGTCCCCGTGCTCGTCCTCCGGCCGCAGACTTGTGATCATCTCCACCACCGTCGTCACCGCCGCCTTGTTGTCCGCGCCAAGGACACTCGTGCCGTCGCTGAACAAAATTTCCTGGCCGGCGTACTGCGCAATCTCGGGGTGCTCCGCCGCCCGCAGCCAAATGTCCTGCTCCTTGTTAAGGCAGACGTCCCCGCCCTCGTAGCGCAACTTCTGCGCCCGCACCACCGGACTGAGGCCAACGTCGATGGTGTCGAGGTGAACAATGAAGCCGACGGTCGGGCAGCCTTTTCTGCGTCCCCGCTTCACCGCCGTCACCGTCGCGTGGTTGTCGCACACGACGTCGTCGAGGCCACCGGCGCGCAGCTCTGCCGCAACCAGCTCCGCAAGCTCCTGCTGCCCCGGGGACGTCGGCAGGCACTTGCCGACGTTGGCCGGGTTGCTCTGGCTTGAGATGGCGGAGTACCGCATGAAGCGCTCCACAAGCCGCTCCTCCACACTTTTGCCTGGCATCGTTCTGCGTGGGCTACTGCCGATATTCTTCCTTTTTCTTTTTCTTTCGTTTCCTTTTTCTCCTCTCTTCGCGCCGAGCCCCGAGGGAAGGGCCAAACAGCGGGGCAGAAAAACACAAGAGCACGGAGAGGGGGCAGGAAGAGAAGAAAAGCCTCCACCGACGAAAATAAAACAAAAAATATATTGAATAACAACTCCAGTCACTCTCTGTCCCTTGACTGTTCTTGTCGTCGATTTCTCTTTTTCTTTTCCTTTTTTTTCTTTTTTCATTCTCTCCCTTCCATCCTACCCGGGTGTCTACCGTACATCATGGCTGCAATTCACATGTGGGGCCTCGTGTCCGCCACAGCCCCCAGCGCCCTCCTACCCCTCCCTATTTCTCCCTTTTTGTTTGCCGGATTGCGGGGCCACTCTCGCACGCCGCCGCAGAGACGCATGGAACAAGGAAAAGACAGGCAGGAAGAAAACAAAAACAAAAAAGGAGGGGTGTGGGGGTGGGGCGGCGCCCACTCCTCCCCCGGCGGCTAGTAGAGGAAGGCTCGCTGGACAGTCTCTATCGCGGAGGTCTGGGTGCCCCGCAGCCCTTTCAGGTACTGCGCCGTACGTGGTGGCTGCACCGCGGCGTCCTGCATCGTCTGCGTCGCGTCGTCGCGCGGAGGCCGCACCTGCGTGGTGTTGTCGCGGCGGAAGTGCGAGGCTATCGTTTGCGTCGAGTGGGTGCGCATGTCGAGGAGGTTGACGAGCTTCAGCGCCTGGCGCCGCAGGTCCCACTCGTTCCAGCGGTAATTGTGGTCCATGTAGGGGTCTCTTTGCCCTGTTTGCGTGCAGGCGTCGTGGCGCTCCGCCGCCGCGACGAGGCTCCCGCGTGGCTCGTAGGTGCGGGTGCCTTTGATGTACAACTCGCGCGGGAGTTGCCTGAGGAGGTCGAGGAGGCCGGCGAGCACCAAATCCTCCTGCACCAGGTGCTGCGCCCCCTCAATGAACCGCAGCGGCGCCCCCACAAAACGCCGTAGCGCGTATTCGGAGCAAAAGGCGTACCAGTCGCCTCGAGCGCTGTCCGGCGGCGAGCAAACAACAAAGCCGGCGAACGCGTCGTCCGCCTCGCTCGTGCGCCCCTCCACGCAAATGCCGTCCTCCACGAGGCTCACCAGACACAGCCCGTTCATAGCCCGCGACGCACTGTGCTGCGCCAGCTCGCTAGCATCCTTGGCGTACTGCAGGAGCACCTGCGCCCCCTGCGGGGCCGCGGCAGTTGCGACGGCAGCCGCGATGGCGGCACGATCCGCCGTGGTCTCCTTCGAGGCGGTCACGGTTTCCGCCAGGATGGTTGGCGGCAGCGAGGTATCTTGTAACTTGCCAAGAGAGAGGGAGACGTCCAGCAGGGCCTGGATTTCCTCAAACCCGTCAAGGCTCTGCTCCGCCTCCTCGTAGGCCTCTGCAAGAGCAATAAATTTGGGGTAGACGGTGCGCTTCGGCACGCGACTGCGCAGCGTGACGCCGTCGGAACGCATCGAGCCCACCCCAAGCACCGCCTGCAGCTCCGCGAGCGCCTTGTCGTACGCGGGGAGGAAGTCGGTGTGGATGCGGGCGGAGAGGGCGTCCAGCTGCTCTCGTGCCGTGCGCAGGTTTAGCAGAAACTGCAGCTGACGGTGGTACTCCTCGCAGATCGCCTGCCTCGCGGGGTTGCCGACGGGCGCCGAGGGGGAGCGGAGAAACTTCACGTAGTCGGAGCAAACGGTGGCCGCGGAGTGAAGTTCCTCGGAAATGCGGCTACCCAACTCATTCAGAGACTTCTCCGCGGTTTCCCTCAGCGCCAGCAGGCCAATCCCCGCGGTCCGTCCCTCCACTTTGTTGTACAGGCGAATACCCCACACAATGCGGCGCAGCTCCTCCAACTGCCGCTTCTTCTCCTCCGCCGTCTGGTTTGCAAAGGCACGCACTTGCGAGCGCGGCAGCACGGCGTTCAGGACCGCCGCTGTCTCCTTCCGCGGCCCCACCTTCCCCTGAGTGGCGTTCAGTTGACGGTAGCGGTGCAGGATAAAAAAGGCAATCTCGCTAAGTATCTCCTCCGGCATTCTTGTGGAGTTCTCACAGAGAGAGCCCAGCAGACGCAGCGTGACCGCCTCCTGCTTCACCTGCTCATTGCGACGCTTGCTCGCGAAGCTGCCGCGCAGCGCCGCCGTTTGGCACTGCAGCGAGAGGGTCGCCAACACGTGCGGCGAACAAGCGGCAAGGTAGCTCGATATTTTTTCTGCCATCGACTCAATCGCCTCCGGCGCGGCCGCAACGTTGCCCTTTTCGTCGGTGTCTGGAGAGTTGAAGAGAGACAGCCGCACCACAAAGGCAGCCAGCTCCTCCGTGACGCTAAGCGCCGTGGCCTCATCCGTGCGGCTGCGGAGCCGTCGCACAATCTCCTTCGCCAGCGCCGGGACGACGTTCATCCTGTGCGCCTTCCCGCCGGTTGTATGTCTGGGAGAGTTAGCGCGGGAGCGAGGACGAGCGTGGGACCTCCTCCGCCTCCGCCTCACCCCTGCCTTTGCGCAACTGCTTCTGTCTTGCCGTGCCTGGGCCGCCACGGCCGCCCCACTTTCTTTCCTTCTGATTCTATCGCCGCCGGCAACGCCACCCGCGGAGAGAGGCAGCAGCAGGAGGAGAGGAGAGAGAAACGAAGCAAAGCGAAGAGGCGTCGTTATCCTCCGCGGAGCGCATTTGGTGCCACCCCCCGCATGCACAGACAGGCACGCCGCTACACCGCGACAGGAAGACACAGATATGTGTGTGTGTGTGTATATATATATGAGAGGTATTTACAGTCACTCCTAAAGAATTGATTCCGGCCAAGGTAAACGACAACAAAAAAGGATCATAAAGGGAGTTGCCGTGATTAAAGCAAAAGCCCTCACTCTGGTGCACCTACGCACACCGGCACTCACTCCCGCTCCCGCTTTTGCTCGCCGCACAATTCATTGATGGAGTTCAGTGAGAGGAAATAAAAATCTGTACATACCCCCTCACGGGGTTTGGTAGCTACTCAACGCCAAAGCTATTTGTCTTTTGCGGCGGTTACTTTTTCGCTTGGTGA